GACTTTCCCAAGAAACGGCTACCCGAAGGAGTTCAGTCCTGGAATTCCCACATGCTGAACTATTTCTGCTCATGAGAAATAGTTGCAAGAGAAAAGGAAACGATGAAGACCACCTTTTTTTATACCCCCTTCATAAAACACAAAGGCGAAGATGTCCAACCCGATGAGAAAGCAAACAGCTGGTGGAGATGTCGGCAGTATTTGCTGCGTGGCGTCAGCAAATACAAAGAAGGATGCTGGCCCTTCTTGCTCACGCACACAGATACAAAGCACAACCCCTTATCTGCTTCCGAACAGAGAGACCCTGACTTGGCAGGAATTTGCACTTTTTTTTTTTTTAAACTAGGTATAAAGCAAGAAGATGAAGTCAATGGAGGGTTGATATGGTCAGAAAACGTGGGAATCAGACTCCTCCCATATTACAGGTGATATGCAACAGGTACATGGGAAAAAGAAGGGGGGGAAGCTTCTACTTGAATTTGACATTGGGAGCTTCTACTTTTATAGTATAACTTACCGTTCTAGAAGTCAAAGAACTGCTGAGTCAAGACAGGTGCTCAAATATGGCACTTGATGGTAGCTGGCAAGCAGGAATAAGAACCTCCCTTCTAGGTTAAAATGTGAGTGACCGTTTTTTAGAACAGCCAGGCAGGGGAAGTGAGAGCAGGGATGTTTCTGCTCCGGGAGTCCAGACTTGCAAATAAGCTCAGCAATAAACTCATGACTTTATGAGATGTTAATTTATTGCCTTTATTGTTTATGTGATGGGAAGAGTCAAGTCTATGAATAATAAAAAAAAACCTCTTCTTAAATCATTAATGAGCTTTCCTTCCTACATATCAATGGAGACGTACAAATGTGTGCAGGCAGCCACAGAATTTCTAAAAATAGTCGCCTCTGAGGCGGAGTACGGCAGGGGGCTTGCATTAAATGTAATTCTCAAGTTGAGTCTTTCCGTGTATTTGCAGGGGGAAAAAAAAATAATTGCACCAGACCACGGCAAACAGAGGGGAAAGTCCCGAGTTTAAGATGGTCATACATTACAAAAGAAAACCCAGGACTCAAAGCAGGTGACTGCTGTTCTGCGTGGTTAGAATAATCTCAATGTAAAGATATTATCAAAGGCCCCAGGATGCTGGAATACTATGTAAATAATATGTGTAAAATATGCATAAATATATAAATGAAAAGGAGACGTGTCTTGTCTTTGAGATTCTGATTTAGTTACTAGAATATTTTGTACTCAGCCTTACTTCCAATCAGCATAAATAACAGTATCCATTAAAGCCAAAAATGCTTCAAATATTACTTTTTTTTTTTACAGGCTTAGTTTTCTATTATTCATCACCCTGTTTATATTGGGTATCTAGTGAAGTCCTACTATAAGCTTTGTTCTGATCATAAGATAAAGCCATCACAGAATTTTTGACATAGTGAGAATAATATGTCTGGTTCAGCATCTCAGACAATGAATTAAGCAAATATATCCATTGTTCAACTTGAGGACTACTTGTGTGTGTGTTTGTGTGTGTGTGTGTGTATGTAATATATATTATATATTTATTGTAATTGGTGCCTTCAGTTTCCATGTTAAGGCATACAGCTGTGAGGAGAATCATTCTAAGAACTTCATTTCTATGACAGACACATAACTAAATGTCAATTATGCTATCTAATTTTATGATGTAGCAAAGTGAGGTTTTTAAATCAGAGCTGGCTTGGTTGCCAAGGTAACTGTGTTACCGCTCATGACATGCAAGTCATGACATGGGAGTTAACTGCAAGCAAGCCCAGACAGGACCTGGGAGGGGCTGATGGTGGTGGACAAATGGAATCTTCTGATAGCCACACAATGCCACAACACAATGCAGGGCCAGAGTTATCAGTGTCCTGTCCTTCCCCGTGGCTTCGGTGTCTAAATGCTTGAAATCTGTGGGGGAGCTGGGAAATGATCCGATATTCTGCATATATGTTGGCTCAAAATGTAAGAGCAAGTTGAATTGAGAAAAACACTATTATAGATGTTAAAATAACACACTGCATAAAAATTTTATGTGTATCTTAGAATAACGTCTTTCTTTTGTTTTCTTATCTAGCTGCTAAGAGAAAACTATCCCCATTACTGTAGACTGAAATCAGTTAAAAATAAGATTATGTATTAATGATTAACTTGCTTTTGTTTAAACCATGTTGATCTGGACACAAACATGGGAGAAGCCTGGTGTGTGCTCTAAGTAGAATTTTATCCTCAGGTCTTGCCATCCAAAGGACAAATTCCAACAGAGGCTGAGAGTCAGTTGTCAAAGAGATGTGGCCATAGGCAGACATGCCTCCTTCCAAATACCCTTGCCTAACTGGCAATATGTCAGCATCCTCTGCGGCCTAAACACTCATTAAAATCAAGCAACTAAACAGAAACAGACAAGGAGTGGATTGGGGATGGGTGAGAGGAGAGGAGGGAGAGGTAACTATGGTTGGGATATAAAATAAATGAATAAATCTAATTAATAATAAAAAATAAAAACAAATAATATTAACTACCTCACCATATTGTAAATTTAAAAAAAAACAAACAAACTAGAAAATAGCATATAAATATTTGACCATTAAAACAAAATCAAGTAACTATTTAGAGAATTCCGTTTATTTCTTCTAGACCCCAGCCTTTCCTTCTACCTAGTTCAAAGCAGGAGACTCTCAGCTAAGAATATCTCCAGGTTGGGGCAGGATTCCAAGGAGTTTAGAGATACGCATTCTTGTGTGGGGCCTGTTCAGTGTCTGACATAAACCGGGATTTAAAAGGCCCCTCCTAGGGAAGATAAAAAGGAAAAAGCAGCTTCGAGAAGCTCTGTCTCCATGGCTCTGTTACTGTTTTGTTTTGTTTTGTTTCGTTTTGTAGAGTGGATTTAAAAATAATTGTGGGGAGTGAGAGGAGGACGTTTGGACAGACTTGGCAGTCAGGGTTGTCTAGAAGTGACCTCAGGCTCTGTTTCAGCTGTAGAAAGAATGATAGGATTTCAGTGGAATTCTCCAGTTACCTGGGGTAGAAGAACCCGAGAATTCAGAGACCAAGCCCTGGGTGGACTGGGCTTGAAACCCCAGAATTTCAATAGTGAGAAGGGTACAGGAGGAGATTTGGAATGCACATTGACTTTTATTTAAAAAAATTATGACTGGGATAAATGGGCTTATTAGAGATAGCCAAAAACACACAGGGGCTAAGAATGCATCCCTTTGTTCATTAACACATGGAATCATTGAATGCATTTTTTTAAAAGGGAAAAATAATTTTTTTGTTCCTAAGGGAGAAATATCAGTATATTTCACTTGGATGCCATCATAAAAAAAGTCATGTCCACAAAGTAATGTATTTTGATCGGTTAACAGCAAATTGGTCCGAAATCAATGGTACAGCAATTGGGCATGTCCAGCATCCGAAGAGAGAGGCAGGGCGGGGAGAGGGGCCGAGTCATCCAAGACGGTAGGGGCCGAGGTCTGTTTTTCTTTGTATATTAAATAAACCCCAGAGGCATGCTTCCTCGGTTATCTTTTGGGGGAAACACTGGCCAAAGACAGCATGTGAAGGATTGTCAGAGACGTTAGGGGAATGTGAAGTGTTCATTCCAGGCCAGGGCTAACCTTTGTTGGAACATTAAAGAAATCTGAGAAAGGCCGTCCTCTCCCACATAGCTTGTCTGGAGCCAGACTCAACAGCAAATAGCGGGGGTCTCAGGGGCTGTTTTTACAAGTCCAGGCCCTTGGTGGGAAGAGCCTGGAGAAGCTACCAGAGGCCGAAAGGTACTGACTGTTAGGAATGCAATTTCTAAACGCTTTCCTACCATGGAGGGCTCCCCATCTCTGCTGGTCCCGTTGGCCTTGCCACGGGTATCACGCTGAGGGGCCTGTGGGGGCCTAGGTTTCTTTACCTCAGCTGGGTAAGTGAAGAAGAAACCCGGAAATCATCTTTCATCTAAAAAGTGTCACACCAGACTGATTCGACAGACAGTGCAAAGGAAAGCGTAGTCTACCTGGCCTCTAGAACGCAGGGAGTAGGGTGGCCACGTGCCCTCCTCCAGGGTGCTCAGCTCAGGGTGGATCTCATGCAAGACTAATATCTGAAGCTTAGAGGAAGCCTGTGTGATATTTTCCCAAGTTCTCTATGGGACTGCCTTCTTTTAATTACCCATATGTTCTTTTAAGAGTGTTGTTCTGTGTTCAGATCTTACCACACTATAAACCACCATGGCCTACACCTACTTTCACTTTTCTAGTGTGTGTTGGGGGGGACCCCATGATCTTTATACAGGTAGGGGTCATAGTCACATCTGAACAGGCTTTCGTTGCCAATATACAGGAGTCCACCTCTAGCCGAGATTCAAGCAAGGAGTTCCTGATCTCTACCCGTGGGCCTTCGAGTTCCCTTTCCCGGCTGATAACTGAGGTAGGTTCTTTCCCCCCGAAACGTTTCAAAACCATTCACATCGACCACACACCTCTCATGCATTGTACTCTGACAGTGTTATGCAAACAGACACATTGAAACAGCACAGGACAGCTGAGAGCATGGCAGAGGGTTGGAGCGGATGGCTCCAGGTTTTAGTAAGGGGAGCAGCCTGGGTGTATGAGATGTAGAGGGAGTTGTCAGAGATGGTGCACACGACCGGGCTGAAGATGGATGGCTGGGGAAGCTGGAACTCATGGAGGATGGACAGGCCTGTTGGGGGGTGGGGGATGGGGTGGGGGCGCCTGGTTGGGAGTTCTGGGGGGAGCAGGGCAGAACCATGCAGGGCCCCGGATGTGAGCGGAGAAATCAAGCCAATACTTTACCAAGAGCAGTGAGGCTTCTTTAAGTACAGATGTTATGTGGGGGAAACTGTCAAAACATCCTGAAATATATCCAGATTTGGGAGTGATTAGCATGCGTGTGACTACAGTCTTCCAGGACTGTAAATGCAGTTTCACCAGGAAGTGACATGTTAGACCCGGCTCCCTCCACCCGACAGAAATCTGGCCAAAGCAAGCCACGCTCTTAGGAGTGGGCCGGTAGCAGCCACAGCCCGCCAGTGTCACCAGTGGCTGCAGACAACGGTAGAGTATTAGAAATGGCTGGTTCCTCCACCCCAGTACAGATGCCATGGCGGTGAGCGGCCCCACCAACCAAAGTGGTGGGCTATTACCGTAGTTAACCTTGACCACTAAGGAGGATTCAGAATCTCGCAGGACACACACCTTTGTGTATGTCTGTGAGGGCAGGTTTCTGAAGAGTTTATCTGGGGAGGGAAGACCCTGATGGTGGATGAACGGCTGGGGATAAACCTGAGAAACGGAGCTGAGCGCCAGCGTTGGTGTCTCTCTGCTTCCTGACTGCGGACATCCTTGTCACCAAAGTCGGAGCCACAGAGCTGCTTCTTGCGGCTGGGGAGGGCTGACTGTGTTTCCACACCGGGAGCCCAAACAGAGCCTCTCTCTGTGAAGTTGCGCCTGTCAGGTATTTCGTGGCAGCGGTAAGAGAGCAACTACAGCGCCTGTCATCTAGCGGTCCCACGCCATCTGTTTCACACCACAAGGCAGTGTGGTCTTCCAGGGCATGCGGTCGGGACCAGGAGAACCAGAACAAGAGTCACACTGAGTGACGTGCCATCGACCGATGAAAACAAATGGCTTCAACAGCCTCATTGAATGCCCGACTGACATGACACGGCATAGAAACTCTCCCAACTTCTGCTCTTTGGTCCTCCTCAGTTTTCCTCAAAGCTAAACACCAGAGAAACATCCCCTTCTGTGATGAGTGGCGAGGCCAGCTGCGGATCCGGGAAACCCTGGATGGTCTCTTGCAGTGCTAGGTGGGAACTCTCTGGGAGTCATGCCCAGGACTCTTAGGAGGCCAAACTGTCAACCAGCCACTTTTTTCTGAGCTTGATGGGAAAGAGACTTCTTTCCCTGCTCAGACTTCTCAGCGACCCTTTTGGGGTACCTTTGAAGGTACCAGGGCTCGCTTTCTTCCCTCACTGGGTCTCAGAACTAGCCGTTCCTTCCAGACATAATAGTGACAGCCCACTGCATACCAGGCTCTCTCAGAGACACTGGGGACAGCTGTCCTTGTCCTGTCTATCCTCTCTCATGCCTGCACACGGGAGGATAAAGACAACAGTCAGGAGAAACACACAGAATTGGTGGCCAGAGCCAACCGGAACACGCAACAGAGAAAGGGGACAGCGATAGCCAGGGCAGGGGGCGGGGGAATAGAGCTGAGGGTGATTAAAAAAAAGAGACCTCTGGGGAGAGCCTCTCTGAGGTTGACATTTCAGTAAATAACCGAAGGGAAGGAGGGACCAGACCTGCCAGCTGTGGGGAAAGAGTTCAAAGCCACAGCTAGCTCGCAGGCGAGGCCCCGAGGCAGGCATGCCTAGGATACTTCCCTGAGGGAAGAGGCACATTGCTGGAGCACAGTGGGGAGGAGGAAGGCAGGAGAAGCAGAGCCACAGAGGGGCTGAGGTGGAAGGACTCTCAGGGGTGTGTGTGTGTGTGTGGCTCTGGCTTCCGGTGAGCTGGTAGAAACACCTGAGTGGGTGTTTCTGAGTGGGATGGCGTGATATCAATTCTAGTTTAATAAGCTGATGTTACCATCATGACCAGAGAGCTGATTAAATTGGTGTCAGAGTGGCCAAGGATCAGGGGTCGGGGAGAGGAAAGGCTGGGAGAAGCTGGGGTCCGAGAAGAGGCGGTACCCAAGGTGGGTGGTGGTACCCTTGCCTGGCCTTGGGAGGAGAGATGGGTGCAGGTAGCAAGGTGGCTGCAGAAGGTCATGCCACCAGGGCTGGAATGACCAGATCCAGGATGGGACTTAGTGGCGCAATAAGCATCTAAGATGTCTCACTATTACTCAGCGTGGTCACTGAGGAACGGCTCTAATGGATGCAGCTAACTGGCCATGGTACCAGGAGCTAGCTCATTGTCAGGATTTTTTTTTTTCCTCCCCCATGTTCCTTCGATTGCTTTTATCCCATCAAAGGGCCTGCGGGGTATCCAAGCGTTCAAGGCTGAGGGTACACAGCTGTCTGCAGACTTCGAATCTGAAAGAACCGAAACTAGGCTACATGAAGTCGGGCAGGGGATCAGCTGGAGTTTAAGTACGGAATGAAAACAGAATGTGAGCCATTACAATTCTTCAGACTGTTGTTCCTGGAAGCCCGCCAGGTGATGCCTTGGGGACATGAGCAGAGGTTAACCAGTTAATACGCTTTCTTAAAAATTATTTGAATTTGTTTAAAAAAAATCCATTGGCCATTTTCCTAACTGCAGAGGAACAATTTTTTTTTTTTTCCAGGAATGAGATTATCTTTAGAAGCCAAAGAAATGTAAAGAAGAGAGGAGGGTGTTTTTTGGATTAATTCCAGGAGATTACAGCTAGATTAAGGCTCAGGGATGCCCTCAATTACAAAGGCCATCTTGCTTTTAAACACACACACACACACACACACACACACACACACACACACACACACACATACACTCACCTAGCACGCACCCCCAACTCAATGAGTCTCTGAAGCCAGCAGGATAGATTTGAGAGACAATTCACTCTTTTCTCTTTTTCCTATTCATCTTCCTGCAGCCTAGAAATGTGTCTGTTGTGCAGTTTCCCCGGCAGGGGCAGAAGTCTGAGAGGAAGAACCCAGATCTGGGCTTACTTTAGAGACGCTTGTCACGGGTGACTGGTATTAAGTGTTGCTGGCAGGGTTAGTAAACTTCCTAAGAAGAACATCCGAGAACACGCTCTGTAGCAGACAGGACCAACTGGACAAACATGGAAACGGGTTCAGAATCCACCCAGTAAAAGACCTTGGAGGCTACAATCAGTTAGAGCGAGATGGAGTTTCCTTTTGGCCCACAGCTATGCCTTATGGTCGGGAGTTTCTGAGAGAAGGTTCTAGAATGACTGACCACAGAGTTACTCAACAGTCTCCTGCCTCTGACCCACCTAGTTTGAAAGGAAAAGCACTGTGGCCTGGAATCTATTTCCTCACCAGAAAATCCCAATACAGAAACAACACAAACTGGAGTTTTGTTTTTGTTTTTGTTTTTTAATTCCTCTTACTCTATATTGAAAAGCCAATGTTGCAAATTTGACCCAATTTGTAAAGCTTTCAGTTAGTAAAGGAAAAAAAAAAAAAAGGAAGTCCAAAGAAGGCAATCATTATTCTCTTTGCCCATGTCAGCAGCCTCACTGTGACTCTCCTGGGGGGCTTCTCTTGGGTCTAGCTACGCTTTCCTGGTCAAGCTACCATGTGATGCCCACGTGACCGCTTCTCCGGCCACGTGACCAGCACCTTGCCCATGTGAGCCACAGCAGTGCAGGAAGCATTATCTCTTTCTCACCGAGTGCTGAGTGCTCCTGATTTGTGTGGGGAGAGGGCTTGGCCAGGCACAGGGATCCCTGCTCTGTTGACACCTCATTCTTTTGGTTCTAGCCCAAGCTGCTCTATTTCAGAGCAGGAAGGTTCACCTGGAACAGCAGCTGAGGGAGGTCCAGAGGCCGGGTGGGAAGACTGTAAGATGACCAGGATCCACAGCAGCCTTACAGCTGTGGTTGCTCAAGCTCTGAATGCATACATGGCCATACATGTAATTTTTGAAATTGCCTGTAAGTATTTAAGCCTAGTGTATTTTATTATTTGGGGTGCATATATTATGGTAATGATCCAGTTTCAACTGTTTTGCTTAATATCCCTACTATTAGCATGTACACACACACACACACACACACACACACACACTCACACACACAAATAGAGAAAAGAAAACTGTTATAAAAATTATTCTAACAAAATTAGGGGAAGTAATACCCAGAGAAGAAGTGACCTTTTAATTGGAAAATCATCCATATCTATACAAATCTTCTGTTTAAGAATATTCACAAAAACAATGAAATTCAATGGAAACAGGGAAGGGAGGCAAGTTCTGATGACGTGGTTGATTTGCCTACAGCAAGATAAAGCTGGCGAGAGAGGATGAGACCCAAGACAGAATGACAGACAAGCAATGGTACACCCCCATTCCTCTGTACCCCGGTTCCCAGACGGGGCAGCTGGTTAGACCACACAGGTCACTCATGCACTCCACAGGTTTCTGCTACGTACTCTACAACCTGAGCAGACAGCTATGGGAGACAGAAATAGAAGAGATGGAAACCTCTCATGGAACCGAGTGTTCTCCATCTCACTGTCACATGGTGCTCATGAGAGATGAACCTTCGAGAAGAGATGAACACAAACACAGGCTACGCAGGGTCCCTGCCACCAGCCAGCCAGCCCCTGGGCTGGGGGCTCGCGCTGGGAGAAGAGAGCCAGCATGGCTTTGGGTGGCAGGAGAATGGTGTTCTGCCATTAGCTTTGGGAGCCTGTAAATTCCATTTTCTGTATCAGTTTCTGAGGCTCCAATTCTACATCTCCTCGTCTTAAACTTCATGGAGATAACATCCAAATACATTAAGCTTTCAATATTCATCTGTAGTGTATTTAATTTGGTCAGTTCTGACGTCTCTATTCCCCACAAAACCATGCTCACACTTAGAGGTAATACTTGCATTGCTCCTGAGTTCCCTCCTATAGTTCGGTAATCCACCCTTCTTTTGGGGGTTGACTGTGAAATGTGTCTCACAGGCTCTTTGTGTTTGATGGCTTGGCCCCCAGCTGGTGATGCTGTTTTGGAAGGAGATGGAGCCTCAGTGGAGGAAGGAAGTCACTGGGAGTTGGGATGTGAAGTTCTATAGCTAGGCCCTACTTTCTGTTTGTTTCCTGCTTTCTGACTGAAGACACAATGTGAGCCGTCACTCGATGCTCCCAGGTGTCCTGTGATTCTCCACCGGGGTGGGCTGCGTCCCTTCTTGAGCTGCAAGGCAAATGACCTCTTCCTCCCTTGAGGTGCTTTTCCCAGTGTGTCTGTCCCAGCAAGGAAAGACAGAACCAACCCATCATCTCTATGCAACTAGATGATCTTTTCTAGAATTTTATCTGAATGGCGTCATATAGTATATGGACTTTTCTACCCGGTGCCCATTTCTCAGAAGTTCTCACTCTTATTTCCCCTTCTGTTGAGGTTTGGTAAAGAAAAACACTACAGCTCCTGAAGAGTGGTCACCTATATGTAGCTGAGGGCCACTTACTTCATGACCATGCTGCTGCGGATATCACTCCGTATGCTGTGAATGTGTGTGCTGCTCTGATTTGGTCGATAAATAAAATGCTGATTGGCCAGTAGCCAGGCAGGAAGTATAGTATAGGCAGGATAAGCAGAGAGGAGAATTCTGGGAACAGGAAGGTGGAGTGAGGAGTCGCCGGCTAGACACACAGGAAATAAGATGCAAAAGTCCTGGTAAACCACAAGCCATGTGGCAACTTATAGACTAGTAGATATGGGCTAATTTGAGATATAAGAACTAGATAGCAAGAAGCCTGCCACAGCCATACAGTTTATAAGTAATATAAGTCTCTGTGTGTTTACTTGGTTTTGAGCAGCTGCAGGAGCCAGGTAGACACGGGAAAACTCCAGCTATACCATGCTGGTTTATCTCACCCCAGAACTCTAACTCTAGATCAAGTACCATGCTGAGGTGTTCCCAAGTGCAAATACTAACACTATTACATAGCTTCCCAGGGAGTGCCTACATCTCTGCTCAAAGAACTGAGGTCTTATTCTAAGGCCACAGCAACGTTCAGTTTCTTGTGTTACAGAAGCCGCAGGACCTGGCGTCTCCAGGGCATAAGCTCTAATCACCTTCCTAGACCCATGTGGTACTAACACAGGAAGGCTATGCTTTGGGTAGCAGTCTGTAAAGTACACCTGTAGCCGTCTCCCTTTCTCTACCCTGTGTCCATTTGTAAAACCTTCTGTCAGGGCTGGGGACTGGAGAAGAGCGCAGGTCACCTGCGCTGAGTACAAAATGTAGGGAAGGACAAAACCACTCAGCCACCCAGATGAATAGTACTTTTTAAAAAACTGAAAATAAATCCACCGTGAATAAGACATCACCATTTCAAACAAAGGCCAGGTCCATAGCAGGGCCACGGTCAGCTTGAGGCGGAAGAGAAAAAAAGCAAGCCAATGATGATTCTGCCTTTAAAACTATTTACATTTGCAGCCCAAGTTATTCGTTTGTTTTGTCTTATCTTGACCTCAGCCAACCTCCTCCTGACATATTTATGGTACAACAGGCTGTTTGCCACCCAGAAATCATCCAGAATATTCCCAGACGGCCCAGGCAAATGCAGAAAGACTCTAACAGATCCACACTCATTGGTTCTTACCTTTCTCTTGTTATTGGGCATTAAGCTCAGGCAAAGACACAAACCCTGGGCCACCAGAGTCTTGAATATTTTAAAGGGCCTCTGTGAAGTATTGGAAACTAAGTGTATCCATGCCATCTCTGATTTCATGGACTTTTAACACGAAACCAAAACCATCTTATCTAAACAGACACCCAGAAACCGCAGCTCTGATTAATGTTATCATTTCCAACACACATACACACTGTACTGCTCCTTGTAGGGGCAAACAGTGCCGGAGAGAAATCTTTATAAGAATATAGCATGCCTTAAATGAGTCCAATTAGACTGTAAATATGCACAGAGATGCTGGTGATGAGGGCAGTTACGATGGCTCTGAATTGTTCAGTTAACTGTTTGGGAGGGAAAATGTCCTCCTTCCCCAATCACCCAGAATTCCCAATCATTCTCAAGATGTTTCCTTGAGGGCTGGGCAGACGGCTCAGTGGCTAAAGTGCCTACCACAAAAGCAAAGAACCCATGTAAGTGCCACATGGGTGTTGTGGCTTGACCGTAATCCCAGCTCTTAGCAAGCAGAGACCGGGGATCCATAGAGTAAGCTGGCTAGCTGGATGAGCTGTGTTGGTGAGCTCTAGATTTGACTGAGAGACCCGGCTTTGAAGAATAAGACAAAAATGATTGCAGAACATTTCCAACACCACCCTCAGGCCTCCATATGTATGCACACACATGTGCCCATGCATCTGCATACACATGAGCACACACACATACACATGCAGGCACATCATATGTGCATTTTTTTTTTAGACTTTGGGTGTGTCATCTCTACTCATAGTGAAATACTCATGCTTGGCTGCTTCGGGATGCATACGGAGAATTGGATTATTTGCTGAGGGTTAAGGAAATTACTAGAAGCCCTGGGAGACCACAGCTGAGGAGATGAGGAATGCTGGGTTTCCACTCTCCACACAGACAAGTGTGCGATGGAGGAGACCAGAAGGAAGCGTCAAGTGAGTGGGCCACCTAGCACCACCGCTAGCCATGGGTGAGGCGCTGTGGCAGGATGTGGGCTTTGCAGTTCAGCGGACAGGGGAGGGAGCTCAGGTCAGCTCTGTCTTCAGTGCCTGACCGTGGTGGCCCTTCCTGTCGCTGCTTCCTTGACCGTGAAATGAGCTCGCGTCACAGGGTCACCACGACAACACGGTGGGAGAGGGTGCAGGGCAGGAGCTCAGACCTGGCTCCAGGGCTGCTTAGCTTATGCTGTAGCTGTCGCTGACACCTTTAGCACCCACCAGATGGCTTGGGGTCTCTGACGCCAGAGCGGATCAGTCACGGAAACAGTGACGTCTGCATTCTGTACATGAGCTGGGCTCGGAGGAGGGGGATTGAACGTCCCACGTGTCTTCCTAAAGTCACAGCCCATCCCCCTTTGCCAATCTTTTTAGGGTGCCTGGAATCAAATTGTGACCTGTCATTCTCGGAGATGAGTGATATCCCTTTAAGAAGAGGCTCTTCCTTGCCAAAAAAAAGAAAAAAAAAAAAAAAAAAAAAGAAAAAAAAAAAAAAAAAAAAAGAGAAGAGCTGATGCCAATCCTGGTCACTATGTATGGTTTTGTTCTTGACATTTGAAAAGAACCAGAGAAGAGCTTTAAAGGTTCATCCACAAGCGGATGGTGCGTGGGCAGTCTTAAGACCCCAACAGCTGGTGTGCTGGGATGGGTAACTTGTCTCCCTGAAGGCAAAGGATCCAGAAGGTCAACTGCGGACAGCGAGTCTAGTCTTAAGCCTTTGCATAAATACGGAACGACACACAGAAACTCTGTTCCCCAATGTGGGGTCATTTTCGGCTGCATCCTATCTAAAATGAGGTGGAGATGACTTGATGTGGGGGAAACTGGGGGAGCCCCAAGTCCTGGAGAGATGTAGGAGAGCCTGCCCCGTGAGACTCGGGACTGGGAAACAGGTGAGGAGTCCTCACTTGTAGCATAGGGACCATCTGCCTCCTAGGGTTCCCCAGGGGATGAGCTACACAAAGTTGGCAGAACTCCTGCCCTGTTGGCTGAGATCTAGGAAGACCTTTGATACACTGGAGCTATTTTTTTTTTCTGGTAGGCCAAGTGGGGGTGGGTGTAGGGTTAAATAGTTGCTAGTAAGCCACAAAGAGAGTGATGGCATTCTGTGCACAGTTAAACCACGTTAGAAAGTTTTCAAATCCAAGTTGGCCAACTGCCTGCCACTGAGTCCCACTGGACCTGTTGGATTGCTCTAGAAAACAGACCCTTCCATGCATGGGATACTGGAGGGGTACCATGTGAAATTCCTTTGTGCTGAGAAGCAGAGAAAGCCAGCATTGAGGCCCAAGACATCTTGACAGGAGTCTGGTTTCTCTCGGGGCCACTCCAGGTATCCAGTTAATTATTTTAACAAGGTTCCACATGCCTTGGAATGAATGTGTCCCGAGTGCCTCCAAGTTTATGCTGGTTGCTTATCCCATTGAAGGGCTCATACCAAGTACAGGAAACACGTAAGTAAAACAAAAACAAACACAACAAAACAGGTTTGGGAACTGGGACATGACGCAATGCTCGAGAACGCTTCTCTCCTTGCAGAGGACCTGGGTTTGGTTCTCGACATCCATATAGCTGCTTAGAACAGTCTGGAAGCCCAGTTCCAGGGGATCTGACACCCTCTTCTGACCTCTGAGTGCTTCTGCACACATGTGGTCCACCTACATACATTCAGGTGTACGCTTGCACACACACACACACCCAAAACAGGTTTTCCACACCAAAGTGATTAGCTGGAACTGCAATTATGCTTTTTTTCCCTCCATAAATGATAAAAAATTAAACAAGGAAGTCATTATGAAGTTAAAGGACTCCCTCACAGCAATGAAAAGAGGTGACTGAAGCCTTCTACAGAATAAAAGGAACTCCTACTGCTACCAAATTTTCCAAAAACAGTGTAGCTTTCTGGGCACTGAATTAATATAATGTCATGTATTCAGCATTTCTAGAACGGTGCTGGTGGCTGAGATGGGGTAGGTCTGGGTTCTAGTCTCTGCTGGGTGGAGTCTGCAGGCAGCAAGCCTGGAGGCTGTGGGCATGGGAGGGGACAGAGGAAATCCATAAGGTAAGAGCAGACAGGCAGCGGGAAGCCTCCCACAAGAACCAAGGCCCTGACATCAGTGCGCTGTCTGGGGGAGCACGGGCTGTTTTTCCATGTCAACGGGAAGAGGGTGTGGGTGACAGAATCTTAGGGCATGGGCACAGAGCAATGAACCCTGAGCCCATGGGGTGCCGGGAGAGAGCAGCTTGCTTTGTTGGGAGTGAGGGGGCAGGCCACTCCAGCTCTGTCTTGGGGCAGGACAAGGCCCACTGTATACTCTGTGAGGCTACGGGGCTGTAAAAAATGTCTCACGGGAGCAAAATAGCTCCGGTCCACACTGCGCAACTTCTGCGAAGTGGGCCACGTCACACTGTGTGTCTCAAACACAAATGTTGGAGTGCCCACAGAGCACAGTGCTGCTGAAGCAGTCAGCTCATCTGCCGGGAATACCCCAGGGAGCGCATTCTGTGCCTCTCCTTGCAAGGTGCTTTCTCAGGAGTGGGATTCTGAAAGTCCTTCATACCAATTGCACCCATCTTTCCTTTGTTCAAAGACTTCATTCTCAACGGATGCATCTTTAAAATCACAGATGTAAACCTGAGTGCTTGGTTAAGTGCACGTGGATTTATTAGTCTTTATGTGTAGAACAATGTGAGGCCAAACAAACAGACGAAACAAACAAAAAACTCCAAGGCAAAGAGACAAAAAACCCATAGCAAAAAGATCCCAGATGATAATCAGTAACATTACTGGGAAAACAAAACAAAATACAACAAACAAACAAACAACCCAAACCAAACCAAACCAAACCTAAACAACAACATCAAAACCCCCAGGACATTTAAGGGGAGGAGCCTACCTTGCCAGCTACTAAGTTGAAAAGTTCTGCCACAGAGGGGACATTAAAAACAGAGTTTGTGATGGTGCATGCAGAGATGTTAGGCTGCCTGAAGAGAAAAAGTGTCGTGACTGCTCAGGCCCAAACAAGACATTTATACCATCTGCTCTAAGGTCCGTGGATCATTTCGGAAGAGGGGGGTGGAAAGAATGTAATAGAGGGATTGCTGTGGGATGGTCTGTCTGTCAAATGTGTTGCTGATTGGTCAATAAATAAAACACTGATTGGCCAGTAGCCAGACAGGAAGTATAGGCGGGACTAACAGAGAGGAGAATTGAGAGAACAGGAAGGCGGAGGGAGACACTGCCAGCTGCCGGCATGACAAGCAGCATGTGAAGATGCCCGTGAGCCACGAGCCACGTGGCAAGGTATAGATTTATAGAAATGGGTTAATTTAAGATATAAGAACAGTTAGCAAGAAGCCTGCCACGGCCATACAGTTTGTAAGCAATATAAGTCTCTGTGTTTACTTGGTTGGGTCTGAGTGGCTGTGGGACTGGCGGGTTAGAGAGATTTGTCCTGACTGTGGGCCAGGCAGGAAAACTCTAACTACAAGGGATGGGCAAGGTGGTTCAGCTGGTAAAAGCTCTTTTTGCTTCTAAGCCTGATGACCTGAGTTCAATCTCCAGGCCTCGCATGGTGTAAGGAGAGAGAACGAACTCCCAAACCTCGAAATGCATGTGGTGACACGAATGTGCCCGCACAAGGACTTTGATGCTGAGCCTACATTAGAGTCAGATGTGGAGGGGGAGGTGCCTGGGGGGGGGGGTCCTCACTCCTTAAATGCTGACTTGTGGTAAGGTAGATGGCCCTGGCTAAACTCGGTGGGTTACAAAACCAACGAACAAGGCGTGAATCTGGGAAAGAGAATTAAAAGAAGGAGGGAGGTTAACAGGGATTGGAGAATCGTAAGAGAGCCTGTGGAGTTGAGACTAATCAGAATGCGTTATGCGTACATACATTGTCAAAGAACAAACTTAATGGAAAATTACGTCCGTTCCCACACCCTTCTTTTTGAGTCTCCTTGAACAAACCGGCCTAAATTGCAGGTTCCCTGCCCCTCCCCCAATTACGGGAACTTCCCAAGAGCAAGGCAAATGCTTCCCAGCAGTTTGCCCATTGTTTTAGACACACCTATAAAGGTAGCCAGCCTGCCTGTCATTCCAATACTCAGGATGCTGGGGGGAGGGGGAAGGGTTATAGAGTGTGACTCTGTCTCAAGAGAGAAATGGCACCGGGGTAAGATGGCCCAGTTGATCAAGGCACTTGCTGCCAAGTCCCATGCCTGGAGTTTGATGCTTTCGACCTACATAGTGGGAAGAGATAACCAAGACTAGCAAACTGTGCCCTGATCTCCACACATTTGCCCTGTTGTGTACGCACACACACATGACAAAATTAATTAATTAGTTAATCAATACAATGTAATTTAGAAAGGAAATTAAAAAAAAATCAAAAATTCCTTAGGCCTAAGATCAGGTGGCTACCTTACACATTCCAGACAAAACTGACCTGTCTCGTGGCACCAGAGGAAAAGTGAAGCGCACACTTGTGGGTGTGGCTTGTTACGAGATTGTCCAGGGCTGGAGAACAGGGGATCTATCAGAATGTTTTGTCTTTATCCCTAGGAGGGAGGAAGTACTCTGGCGCTCTGAGGTCACATGGCGTAGGATGTTAGGAAAGGACAACTAAATAGTGCTACTCCAGGATAATTTGAGGTGACGCAGGTCAGTTTACGAGGGAGCAGGAATAGGGATCTCCCTGTGTGGGTTCAGAGGGCTGTGACGTGTTCTCAGAAGGACCGAACGGAGCGATGGTGACAAGGTGGTACTGAACGCGGGAAGGCCCTTTGACAGTCCCTACCCACGTTAGTGTCCTTCCGGGTTTATCTTCCTTTTACTGGGTATCTCCTTCTCTCTTTCTCTTTGAATGAAAGAAAAAATAGACACAAATGCTTCCATTCATTTTGGAATCACGCCCGGAGAAGGGCTTTTCAGATGCTTTTCTTTCTTTTACGAGCCACCTTTATGCTTTTGAGGCAACATCTCCTAAAAGGAAGCCAGTACTTGTGGAAGGAGGCAGAAGGTTAAACTGACTCGAAACGAGAGGACCAGATGGATACTGGTGTTGCAAACAGCCCAGCTTGGCTAGCTGGGAGTTCCAGGGACGGACTTTGTGAGTGAGGAGGAGGAGGAGGACTTGGTTATCCTCGATACCAGAAACCAATCCTGTCCATTTAATTCCTAACCGAGGCACGGCCCAGAGCCCAGCACACTGCCAGGCTGCATGGTCTGCCTGTCGGTGTTCTCTTAACCCACCGTGGAGAGGGAGAGGAAACTGGACGCAACCACAAGCTTCCCTGGCCCTGTTTTACCTGCCGTATGCGAAACGCCTGTCTTTGTGGTGATCTCCGAAAGTGTCCCAAAGCCTGAGAGAAATGCTCACTTCATCAACGACATCCCTGGACCGCTCCAGGACCTGTGTGGGGGAGAGGGGGGACAGAAAAAAAGAGTGTGAGAGAGGGGGCATGGAAGGGAGGGAGTGCGATGGGGGGGCGGGGTGGGGTGGAGGGTGAGGGGGCGGTATGTTCGAGTGTTCTGCAGGGGCATTTCTTCAGGTCTTTCCACAGTCTAGAGGGACACAAGACAACTCCTAATTCACCTTCCCCATTGTGTGACTCAGACTTCTTCCGTGTGCCATAGCCACACCCCCAAGTTTCCACTTTGCTTTTTTTTTAATCTGTTACTACACAGGTCACTTCTGTTTTAGACATGCAATATAGCCACGTGCCTCCTTCATTTTTGATCAGACTAATAAACAGCAAACAGAAGTCATGGTCTACGCATTATTTTAAAGTTTCCTTCCTTCTTTCCTTTCTTCCTTCCTTCCTTCCTTCCTTCCTTCCTTCCTTCCTTCCTTCCTTCCTTCCTTCCTTTTTTTTCTTCCTCTAGCCCAAGCTAGCCTGCAATTTCTCCATTCTCCTACCTTAGCTTCTTGAACACCGGGCCACCGTGCCAGGCGAATTACTATTGCATTCAGCTTTCTGTTCGTTCTCGAGGCAGGGTCTCCAGTAGTTCAGG